ATGGTAATTAAGCCTTCTAACTTATGTATTAAAATAGAAACCAGACTACCTGTTTATTTATTTTTCAGTTTTTGTATTTTATTTTTATTTTAATGGTGGCCACATCTTAAAGTTTTTTTTTAAACTTATTGTGGTCTCCATCCACATAGATTTTTTGAATATGTTTGATCATGTATATGTTTGTTTTTGTTCATTATGTGGAAAATAAATAAATCAATCAATCAATCAATTTGTTTCATGTTGAACGTTTAAGCCGCCAAAAAGAGTTTTTTTTTAAATGATACCATGTGAAAAGGTCATGTAATTGCATCTTTCAGTGATACTTGAACTATAGGCCTACGTGTTTGAAGATATACAGTAAGCAAAAATACCAGTTTTTAAATATTTTATACAAATACATTATATTATATCTCACATCAGTGGTCCAAACACTCTCGTGCGGCGGTCCGCAGGGCACCTACCCATACACCAGCATAATGTATCTCTGACATCGACTTTTAGATATTTATTATATCTGTCAATTTTTTATAAGACAAATTATATTCAAATTGTAAGTTATGATTTCCATTTGGGCCATAATCATAAAATTTCATACCTCAGCCTCAATCATGGTGGGGATGAGATGGCCCTCAATCTGTGAAAGTCCAATACTGCCGCCCACCCACCTCCATTGTAAATTAATAATTTGAACCCATTTTCATAAAAAAAAAATTGACCAATTTTACGCAAAATAGGTGAAATCTAGTCCCATTTTACACAACATATGAGAAATCAGGACCCATTTTCAAAATGAGGCCCATTCATCGGCATTGGGTCTTCTACTTAAATTACCAAATTACCAAAGTGCCCCTCACACTGAGGAAGAACACAGGAGTGTTTGAAATATTTGTGAATTAATAAATTATATTGCTTCTAATATGTCTACAACTCAGAGCTGTTTTATATTGCTGTCTTTCTCTATTTTTTATTTATCGAAGCAAACGGGGAATCTTCATTTTTTAATATATATATATACATATACATCTGTCTCTTATACACATCTAGATGTGTATAAGAGTTGTTAATAAACAATACACAAACAGCACAGACATTCAAAAAAAGATATATGTAAATGTATATATGTATATGTATATATATATGTATATACACACATATATGTATATATATCATGTCATTATTTAAACACTGTATATGTACCTTTGATGATTTATATTATACATCACCCATGTATATATATATATATATATATATATATATATATACATGGGTGATGTGTCTTATCAATATAATTCCTTTAAAATGTGTTTTATCAAGTAGATAAGGTTCAAACTTTTGTTCTCCTTTGCAGTTTACGGTATAGTTTCTAAGAGATGATTTTGATTTTGCTCTTTCATATCATTCTTTACTTTTCTTTCTTTCCTATATTGGTTTATTCGTTGTCCTGTTATAAGAAAAATGGATTTGTCAAGGTTAAAAGATAACTTTCATTTCATGGAAAAAATCACTTACTACCTGTAATAGCATAGGTCTCTCATTTTTACCAACAAGTATTACATCATCTACTCGCAACGTCACATTGGTCACACGGTGTATTGTGATGTTTTTAGGTAGACGGGATAATTATACATGACGTCACCAAACAATCCACGCCCCTGGCTGAACCCGTTGTATTTATCAACACCCACAAGGTAGGAAAATAGCGAAATATATAGCTGCACATGTGCAGTATAACAAACAAAATCAGATAAAACGCAATAAATTTTGCATTCTACGAACAGGTTCCATATCTAAATATCGTCATTTACTGATTTTCCCAAGATGTACTACCTTCTGTGTTTAGTGTGTGCTCTGTTTTACTTAACTATCCCGACTGCTACTGGACGTATTGGTAGGTTTTTTTTTTTTTAATTTGATAAAAAAGAAATATATTATAGTATTTAAAATATATATTTCTATATCGAGGCACTCAGTATTACTGTTATTTTAAAATAATGCCCTGATGGATTTTGATCATATGTTTCTCTTAGAACTGATGCTTATTCAATTTGGCCCCATCGTGATTCTAACAAGAGACACATTTATGCTTTATCAGTGAGGTATGGGACCGAGATGATATTAGACTCCCTAAACTCTTCTTGGTATCAATGATATTGAATTTACTCTATACGTATCTTCAATTACAGTATACAATCGTAATTCATCATAATATGTTGCTTGCTCTACAAAGGTCTTAATCGACATTTTTAATCTCTATAGAGTACCACGGTCGTATTTTCACGACGCCAGGTGGCGCTGTCTGTTGTCAACAGACGTAGGTTACCGTTCATTATGCCTGAATGACTGCATAGGCTTTCTGGAATAGGCATTTTAAAATCTAATATTTTACCATCAAAATGTACTAAAACACAAAAGCTCGCATTATATTAGTTATCGAACACACATTTAATTATCAATTAAAATTTACAAAGAAAAAGTAAGATACAAAATCTTAATAATTAAGTTAGAAATTGGGATCAATGGTTTGTTAATGGCGAAAATGGCGTCGGATTGAACGCATTTTCCAACGATAGCAACCGAGTAGTATCACGTGGTATCATGACGTAACACTGTAGTACTCTATGTTTCACTTTAATGTTCCTGTCAAAAATCTTTGTCTTATTGATAGATACTTCCATATCAATGGCTGCAAATATAGTATGTTGCTGACTTTCTTTAGCCAATAATAATAATAATAATAATAATAATAATAATAATAATAATAATAATAATAATAATAATAATAGTCTTGATATTGCTTTCGTTATTAGTGAACTTAGGCATATTTAATTTTGTCTTTGTGATTGAATTTTTATGGTTATATTACATTGTTTTTGTTATTGATATTCATTGTTGTTTCTTTCTAATTATATTTTTTATGATTAGTTATTAAGATTATTAATTTATTTAAAATACTGGAACACTGACAGGAATATATTTAGACGCACACACACATGCGCCAAGGATTGCGAATATATAAATGTCCTACATGTACGTGACAAGCCATTTGGTAAGACTACAGGTATGCGAGAGAAATTGAACCTAGAAATATTCGATTGGAAGGCAATCAGTTTAACCAACAAGTTATTCAAATAAGCGCACAGAAAGAAAAAAATAAAATCTACTTCAGATTGAATCTCTATAACGGAAATGATTAAATGTCGTAATCATTAGCAAATGCTAATTGCACTCTTTTTTTCTATTTTTTTCACATTAAAATTACGAATCCACGTGTAACTGAAATTTGCCGAATTCCTTGCTGCGATTACTTAATTATAACTAAAATTGTTTACAGATTTTCGTTAGTGTAGATATTTTTGTTTATATTTTATCTCAAATCAAATGTTGGATTATCATGCAGTTACGGGGAGTATCAAAGATATTTTCTCTTTTTCGCATTTTTAATCTAACGCTTATGAGGCTTCTTGATCGGCCGTCTTCCTGTGCTTGGTCGGTCTTATTTATATATTTACTAAGGTATAACACACAAAACAAAACAACAACCAAAGGCTGAAAACGTTTGTTTCCAATCAACAAATAAAGACAACATAGGAAAACAGGTCAGGTGGAAAAATACATATCGAAATATCAAAACATTCAAATAATTACATTAGAAAAGTTAAAAATTATTATCATATTACAAAATATATTTATATATATATACATATATAATATAAATATACACCATATTATTATAATCAAATTTCAAAAACGTCAATTAATTCAAAATTAAAAATACATATTGAAATATCAAAACATTCAAATAATTACATTAGAAAAGTTAAAAATTAATTTCATATTACCAAGTATATATATAAATATATACACCAAATTACTACAATTAAATTTAAAAAAAAATAAACGTCAATAATTCAAAATTTTAAATACATTATTATGATACAGGATTAAAATCAACCCAAACAGCATCCGCTGAACAAAGAAATTAAACTTAATTATTTGCATTGATCAAATTAACAATAGTAGGTATGGCAGACATTCTATATCTTTCAGTTTTGTATCTGGGGACATCAAGAGTACTAGTTGTATATGTTTCTCTCCTGTGGGTGTGGGGAAAATTCTTATTGCCAGTAAATGGTTGCACTGTGGTCGTGGAGCCGCATTTCTAGTGTATACAGGTTATTACATGTTGGTCTTTTGTTTTTGTTTTTTTCTTTAAAGCAATAAGCAATAATATTTGTCTTTCATGTGGTAAAACAAGAGATGAAAAACATTAACTACTTAAATTATACAGGTCTCCCTCCAATTAAAGATCATTATTTTTCATTATTCTAATTGAGGACAATTTAAAGAGAAACGTCCCAGGCCAGATATCTCAAAATCGCTCAACAGATCTGAATGAAACTTACGGAAGAGTTTACAAGTTACAATAAAAAAAAAATATTAAAATTGACGATATATGGGTGTGGATTTAGAGTCATTTAAAATACTGACGTCCCTGTATCTGTATTTATTATTATTATTATTTTCACTAGTATATTTTATTCACTAGTATTTCATATTATTATTATTATTCTTATTATTATTATATTTGATAAGAAATTCTTAAACATATGTACAAAATGAGGTGACTTTAAAGCGGGATTGCTGTGTTCAGGAAATTTTATCTATTGAATTATTTTTTTTAATCAAATTATAGCCTTGAACTTAGGCCTATATTAAGGAACTTTTATCAAACGTCTAACTGTTCATGCAATTCGTTGTTGGCCTACTGTTGTTTGTCAAGGGAGAGCATTTGTTCCGCTTTTGCTTTGCTATTTTAAGTATTATCATGATTTGCACTTTTGTATCCTTCTGTGCTTTCCTTCTGGAGGTTGATTGATCAAATTTGAAATTAAATAACGAGACTTATGCTATTAACATCTAACACATTTTTTTTATAATCGGACTTGTCTTATCGCCCGTATCAAGAAGAAAATTTTTTTGTGGTATTTTTTTTATATCGTCTTTGGAGTGGTAGCATTATAAAAGTTAAAAAGAATAGAACAATGAATGAAAAGCATTATTTGCACGAGGCAATTCAATAAGCCATTTCACGGTTCTAACTGTGCATGCTCGTATCAAGTTCAATCGACATAAACACCATACCATAGAGCATAATTCAATACAATGCATAAAACAACAATAAACAATGATAATAAAAATTAAAAAGTAGTTAATTTAGTAAAATATTTAAAGCTCGGAATAACCCAATAAAATGGTTTATTTCCGTTATTGATCAATAAGTAAAACATCATGACTTCGTGGTCCCACATCATTAATAAAACGGACCATATTATATTGCATAATCTGCAATTTCTTAACAATACGAGCAAAAGTAATCTTAATGACAGTGAACAAATGCGGAGCAAATTGTTTTAGAATTTACGTAAATATTTTTTGTAGGTATGTATTAGTTTTGAAATTTGTTGACGAAGTGCTCTTTGTTTAATCAAAGACTATTATTCAATATATCTATTAGCATTCATTCTGAAAAAAAAATGTTAGTGTCCTTCCGTTAGTTTGTCCCATATTTGGGACGCACTCCCTAATTTGCGGAACAATGAATGTAAATAATATAATGTAAATATCGTCTTTACAATTGTTTTGTATTTTAGTGGATTACTGGTCTTGCTGGCTTGTTGATTGGTTGATCGACTGTCCAACCAAACGACTGACTGCTTGCTTGATTTAATGGTCGATAAATTAATTGATAAATTGATCGATCAATAGATTATACTATTATAAATGGCTATAGTGGAATTAACTGTCTCACACAATTCTAAACAAAGCTTAGGCAATCCCAAGTTTAGGAAGGTAAAAGGAATTTTAATCTATATATGTAAAATACGTTACTATTGAGGTTAGCACCCTTGATCACTCAATAGATAGAGATATTAAGGAAGTCTAGATATGTTATGTGATAAAAAAAAAACATTTTAAAAAAGAGCGTTGGGAGACATAATGCAGAATCTTTGTAGAACAGCCATTAGCTGTTTTTGATGGCAATGAAAATTACAAATTGGTCCCTACCACCCCTTCTTACTATTAAAAAAGTGCAAAACGTGCGATATATGACACCTGAATGATTAAAATAAAGCTTCTGCATGTTGTCTACTGAAGGGTAATTGCAATAATAACTGTTGCTGATTTTTATGTTTAAAATAATACTTTCTTTTTTTTTAAATTTAAATGTTTCTGTTAACTTGCCTTTCCCCCTGCTTTTCAGGGTTTAAAAATAATGATTGAAGTAATTCATGGTTATAATTCGATTCAATTAAAAAAACTGATATTGCTTTGACTACAGTGAACCTTAGTGGAGGGACGTATGCCACACAGAGTTCTGTTATTGGTAATAAAGTAGCAGAAAAAGCAGTTGACGGCAGAAAATCAGGCAATATGAACGATTGGTCCTGCACACACACAAGTAAGTTCTCACACTTGAATCGACATGGGTAAGCCTTTGATCCATGGAGGCTCACTGTACTAGCTCTAGAGTTCGTATATTAGCATCGTCTTCAAACATGACATAACAAAAAGGATAATACTAATTGCTAATGTTGATATTATATATCTCCGCCCGGAGATATATGTTTTCAGTCATGAATGTTTGTGTCTCACATTTTCGTGTTTTGTGTGCGTGTGTTTTTTTGGGTTTTTTTTTGTGTGTTCTAATTATCACAACAACGGCTGCACTGATATAAATGAAAATAACAGGGAGTCTTAGTTTGACCCAATGAGGAAATGATTTTGGTGACGGTCCGGAGTAGTGTGTGGATGTGAGGACCAATTTAAGGGATTTAAGAGCAGACACTCTACATCAGATATTTCAAAAACGTGTTAACTTATCTGAACCAAGTAAGAAGTAAGAAATAATTTTGTGTTGGTGACGATCCAAATTTAGGTTTGAACTTGAGGGTCATTTAAAGTGCTAAGGTCCCAGACCTAAAAATCAATGGATCTAACTGATACTACCCAGAATAGTTTTTCATGTTTTGATGAAGAATTTTTTAAATTTTGGTGACCATCCGGAATAGGGTGTGGGTGTGAGAACCATTAAAAGGAAAACGTCCTAGACCAGATATTTCAAAAACTAATCAACTGATCTGAATGAAACTTTCGTGAAAGTTTAACCAAGTCACGAAAGAAGTATGTAGTGTTGGTAACGATCCAAATTCGGGTGTACATTTGAGGGCCTTCAGATCCCAGACCTTAATATCTCTAAAATGGATCAAAATGACACTTACCATAATAGTTTCTCATTTTTTAATAAAGAAGTCTTTAACTTTTAGTCATGGTCTGGAGTAGGGTGTGGATAATATGAGGACCATTTAAAGAATAGTTTTACCGTATACGAGGCAGATAACAATAGCTGTATGATCAATATTCAAATGAGTGCAGTTACAGTAAATGTGTACAGCGTTTTATATGTACTAACGTCAGTTTTTGGGAGCTGATTGGATATATTTTAATGCATCCCTTTATATTTAAATGTGTGACGATAAAATTCACATATATTTCTTATTAATTTGACTATTTTCATAATATTTCTATTTCAACATACTTGGCATGAATTTTTGTTGTCAACTATAATAGTAAATCGTTCAAGTGTTTTTAACCAAGAAGTAAGGAATTGGCAGGTATACAACTATTACAATATAAGTGGTTTCTGGTTTTTCTTTAAGTAGGTGGTGGTTGAAATGTAAGTGGGTTGTCACATTTTTTAGTATCGGTATTTGAATATATAATGGTTCAATAGTCTATGTTGCTTGGATTCTGTGTTCAAAAGGTAACATGTGTAGTGAAAAGTAGGCTGACAGTGAATTTCGGTGAAATCCATTTGGATTACAAAATCTGAAAATGCCCACTCTAAAAGAGAGTCCCCAAAAACCCAGACTAAAGCTACGTTCACATCAAGCCCGAATTCGGTCCGGAGCCTGCACAAAAAATCGTGAGTTGCTCCGTTTTCTTGAACGCTGCGTTCACATCGCGCACGGAACACAGTTGTATTTGTTCGATAGGTTAGAACCAACCAAGTTTGTCGCTGATTGATCCAAGAAAAAAAAGCGTACGATTTCAGAATACAAATGGCTATCAGATCCATCGGTAGATCCAGAGTCCGGATTGAAAATCGCACGAATTTGATTTGAACGGTCCTATTCTTTACCACTGAACCCATATTTCATGATTTTTCCCAGACTCCGGACCGAAATCAGGGCTTGATGTGAACGTAGCTTTAAAGTAGAAATAGTGCCCCTCTTAGAAATAAAAAGTGTTTGGGCGAGTTACTGTGTGTTTTTGAAGAGTTAAAAAGCGGAGCAAAGTGAGGTGGGGTGGTAGTGGTGGTTGAAGTAAATTAGGAACATTATTTGGGAGATTTATTTTATAGAAAGAGATTTGCTTTGGGCGGAGATATGCTCTCTACTGAGTACTCTTGTTTATTATATTCCCATCATATTAAACGAGGATAACCCTTCCAGCTAAATGGCAAGAGACAGTAGACTGAACAATAGGGCCTTCGACAAACATTAAAATACAATGTCATTAAAACACAGTTTTCTTAAGTAAAATTTTAAATATTTACAAGTATAAAGACAATTAAAATTCATTCATTATGAGAAAACTTCATTGAAAAGAAAAGTCCACAACAATCAGAACATGCAATTTCAAAATTCAAAATGTCCAAGATAATAAAAGACAGGAAAATCAATGATTTGGAATAAGAAGATCTACGAAACAGCACAGAAAGTTAGCAACTTCGTTGGTTAAACAATAATGAAAAGTAAAAAATGTTAAATGTTAACTTTTTGAACATTTCAGAAAACCAAGCTAGCAACTGGTGGAAGGTTGACCTCGGAAAGCACTTCAAAATCAAATATGTTAGGCTATACAATCGACAAGGTAGGTGAACAAAACACCATAATCTAAAAGAAATGTTTCTTACGTAGGTCTAATAAGGAGCTAGATTGATCGATGACGGCAAAAATCATAGCGCAGGGTATAGCTACCAAGTTCAGAGGTGTTGCTGGCTTGTCCACAAACACCTCTGCCCCACAATAGTTGGGGCCGAGGTGGCAATTTGTTTTTACCACCTGTAGATGTCCGGAAATGGCACTCTAAAAAATGAAATGAAATTCAATTCAAAACACACACATACAAAATATCTGTCTCCTCGGGTCATGTCGTCGCGCGATCGAAAACGTCCTAATCGAAGGGTATGGCGGTTCGCATTATTTTTTCCCATATCGTTAAGGTATAAATTATAGAGGGCGGTATTTTAGGTCAGTTACGTGAACTAATAAACATGGATATGCATGTTTGACTTCTCCCTCGCAAAAACAGTGTTCGCTGCTTGTAAAATCTAGTACTGATTCTGAAGGATATAAACGTTTAGATGCTCGGACAATTCTATCTATAGTTTTAATAGTTGTGACGAAACCATAAACATGAATATGCATACTTTGACTTGGCGAAAGGGGTGTTCAGTGGTGTATCGAGCAAGCTCCAGGTTGAAAGCTACGGCGTAGGCCAAAATCTCTAAAATAGGCCTTGGTAGTCAAAGACAGTGTGAAAATTAATGGACTATTGTTATATTATCCCTGGCTCAGTTTACTTATATATGATCTTTGAAAGTATAAAAAGCACAGTACCGTATAATATTATTATTGAATCCGGCTATTTGAGTGTGGTATATAAAATTAGTCTATCCATGATGTGATATGCGTCTCATCAACTGTCCATCTTCAGTAGTACATGATTCGATCTCACGTTCAAGTGCAAGTTTCTTTTTATTGTCACGTAAAATACATGAAAAAAAAAAGGTTCAGCATGCATATTGATTTTTTATTTATTCTTAGTTTATTATATTTCAATTACATTCTAATAATATAAAGCGCTTAGAAATGCTCGGAGACAATAATTACGAGTAATTCAGACATAGTTATTAATTACAATGTTTAAAATTAACAAAAATTAATGGGGTATAGCTTGTTGCCTTCTTTTTTGCATGGCCCATTGGCTGATAAAATTTGAATCAATGAAATCTGTACTTCAATCAGTATTGATCGTTTTAAAGAGCTATTCAACTTTTAATTTGGTATTTAAAGGTTTCCTTGATTATGTTGGCAGAGGGTGAGTCTAAAATAAACAGTACGTCGTAGTCAGTGTATTCAATACCGGCGATTTTGGTAAAATGAATCATATTATATGGTAATCTGCTTGCTATTAAGCCTATGACTATGCTTCTTATTCATATTGAATGTGAACGAAATGTTCGTGAAAATTATTAAAACTATACATAATTGTCTTAATACCGTGTCCGAGCATTTCTAAACGTTAATATTCTTCAGAATCAGTACTACTGGGTTCCTTCGAGGAATGATATTCAACACTGCAGATTTTACAACCAGTGAATACTGCTTTCGCTAGGGAGAAGTCAAGCATGCATATACATGTTTATTTTTATTTTTTTATGTTTTTTATTTTATATATATGTTTATTTATTATTTATTTGGATATACACCTTCGGATCGATGGCACACGTTTACAGTGAACGGTGCATCTTTATAATCAACAATATAACAAAAGAAGAGAAAAAAAAGCAATCGAACAAATGTAGTCTGTAGTCTGCCTACAGACTAACAAACTAAAAACAAAGAAGCACATCAAGTTAATACAATCTGACACCTAATCTACAAAACGTTAGCTTCCATAAAGAACGGTAAAATCAAAAGATTAATAAGTTACATAAAATCATTCTTATACGTTAAACTCATTCTTCCAATGTATTTCAACCTACTTCTACCGTCCTCCTTCCCTCTTCCACTACCTAATTCCTAATCTGTTATAAAAGAAATTCTGGTAAATTAAATATATATAACGAAACATACAACAATCTTCAACAAAATGCATAAATATATAAATATATAAAGCAGTAATACAGATCTACCAGTACAGTACTGAAATCGAAAAATAGGAAAAACCCACCCTTACAGTACTGTAACTTTTTGTAACTTTTATTAGTTGTTTTTAAGTTTTGAGCGCTTCTTCCATGCTCCTTATTAGTTCACGTAACCGACCTAAAATAGCGCCCTCTAAAATGTCTAACTTAGCTCAATACCTTGTTTTAAAGGATGAGATAAACTATAAAACTTCCCATCTTTTATTCATTTTAGTTGACTATGAGTTGAAATTTCATATAATTTATGTTGTAAAAGTAAATACGACCTGGGCCTATAATAAAAATTTTAAATACACTTAGGCCTACTACTGACACAGCGTGCTCCTGCTCATCATTCGACAATTATGGTTTATACTTTAGAGCTGCTCGTAAAACTTCATGTCGAGTCAGCAGCTCTCTGACCAGCATGCTGACGTTTTGTTGTCTTGTTGAATATTCAAACTATATATATACTGTCTCTTATACACATCTAGATGTGTATAAGAGACAGAATATTCTGTCTCCTCGGGTCATGTCTTCGCGCGATCGAAAACGTCCTAATCGAAGGGTATGGCGGTTCGCATTATTTTTTCCAATATCGTTAAGGTAGAAATTATAGAGGGCGGTATTTAGGTCAGTTACGTAAACCGATAAACATGGATATGCATGTTTGACTTCTCCCTCAAAAAAACAGTGTTCGCTGCTTGTAAAATCTAATACTGATTCTGAAGGATATAAACGTTTAGATGATCGGACAATTCTATCTATAGTTTTAATAGTTGTGACGAAACCATAAACATACTTTGACTTGGCGAAAGGGGTGTTCAACAAACATGGCTGATTGGTCAGAAAAACCCATACTGCTACAGGCCAAAGCAATTTTGATTACGCAGTGTGTATCACTGTTAAATATGCAGCCATTGTCGCGTACGTATTTAAAAGTTTTCTATTCGGCTGGTCGTCTTCGTTAAGTAGGATTTTACCACTGCGCAGGTAGGTGTGGTTTAACGAAAAAGACCAGTCAACGCAAGGTTGTTTATTCTTGGTCCAGCCTTTTGCTAAGTAAATCAAGAGTATGAGACACTCTTCTGTTTCCGCTAATGATAAAAACATCTTCACTAATCAGAGTCCCGTCATTTTATTCTTTTGGTTTGCAAAGCAGTTTATGTGTATTCATCATTACGGTTTATGTAAGTTTGGCAGAAGTTTTTACATTCTGTGGAAAATTTTATCTTGTGTTTCTAGTATTTTTGGTTTCATTGCGTGCATGCAAAATCAAGACAGTAAGCCCTCTTTGGTATACGGTAGTCTAAATCCCTGTCCAGACTATCAAATTATGTTTTAAAAAAAAAAACATGTGACGTACTAGATGGTCATGATGACATAAATCATGACCATATAGGCACACCATGACTATATATAGGCATATACCATTTTTGTCATATATTTGATAGTCTGAACTTTAGTATTTGCGTGAAAAACTGTCTCTTATACACATCTAGATGTGTATAAGAGACAGGTTTAAAGAGAGCAAGCAACTTTCTTACACTAATGCCACTAATTACACGCATCAATTTCTGTTTATTTCAGACAATGTCCATATCGAAACCAATACAAAGCAAATTAGATTGAAATAGAGAACAAAAAAATGCATGTATACACCGAGGCATTTGTCTCAGGCTTACATAAACTAGCAGATGCAAAAAAACAAATATAAAATAGGCATGCCTATTTTAAAACTTTCAATAATAATCATCTTAATGTAATAAATAATTCCATTTTAGTAGTATTTTTGAATTTTCAATAAAATTGCACTTTATTTTCTTTATCTATGTTCTTCATCTATTATTTAATACAATCTCGTGCAGATGCTGCGCAGGCTTTGACGTGAATTAAAGTCATTATTACTTGGAATTGTCCTTTCACTACGATTATCAAGCGCCCTCTATAAGGCAGTGACGGCCGCTAACTTGGATAATTGTCTAAAATTTAGACAATGTTGTATTTACAGTAAACCAGTACAGTAGTGCTCTCCTTTGGGACACCCCTATTCAGGGGACACCCCTATTTAGGGGACACATTTCCGTGAAAGGAGGGGTCATATATCATTTAACACTACGGCCAATCCCTATTAAGGGGTCACCCCACCTAAAGGGGGGGGGGACACTTTCTGAGTGTGCCAAATGGTCAATAACCCCTATTAAGTGGACACTTATTATTTTTTCATTGTATCACAACAATTACAGCAGGCTCAAAATAACAAAAAAATCATTAACCTTTGACACATTTTGAGCAATGAACTACATTTTTTTCTTCGTTTTTCGTGTCTACTTTCAAATAGGATTTTAATCCATACCATAACATGCCAAGTCGATACTCTATCCATGCCAAAGCCATCCAATAGAAAGCTCAATTGAAAAAAATATATATATTTGATCATGAAACAATATTGGGAACATATAACAATATTGTTGTTTTTATTATTTCTGCTGATTTCATATTATAAATGAATTGTATTTGCATATTGCTATAAATTAGTTCTAATTCTACTTAACTAATTATATCAATAAAATTAAATTAAAATTGTAAAGAATGTATGTCATCGTTATATGAAAACATGTCATAAACCCCTATATAGGGGACAATTTCACAGAGGTTCCCGTTAATAGGGTTACCCTATTCAGGGGAAGGTGTCCACTTAATAGGGGTTCTACTTTATTTATGAATATTTCTATCTTTGTAAATTATGGCCACTTTAATTTGAACAACACAGATGCTTGAATACAGTGCTTGATATCTAAATTTTATAATTAAAAAAACCGATATAAAATAAAATACAATATAATGGAGAACAGGGTCTATTGCTATTTACTCGAGTTACCGGATATTGAGAAATACAAAAATAAAATCCAATTAAATAAAACACATTTTATAAATACACAAGATACAATTTACTTATGTTCATATGAC